CCATGGACAAATATCTGCTATATCCTCTGTTGGTCTTTGCAGTGTCTGCTGGGATGTTAGATCCCATGGACAAATATCTGCTATATCCTCTGTTGGTCTTTGCAGTGTCTGCTGGGATGTTATATCCCAGGGACAAATATCTGCTATATACTCTGTTGGCCTTTGCAGTGTCTGCTGGGATGTTATATCCCAGGGACAAATATCTGCTATATCCTCTGTTGGTCTTTGCAGTGTCTGCTGGGATGTTATATCCCAGGGACGTACTTCTGCTTTAACAGTTGTCTCAGATGTACAAGTGACTGATACATTGATAGTTTCTTTCTTTCCTCTGTCTCGATTCTGCAGAATTTCTTGTACTTCATTGTTTCTCTGATCATTTATCTGGCTTGCTCCTGGGTTTTCCAAATCCTCTTCCTCCCAGGGACATATATCAGTAAGCATTTTTTCCTTTTTTTGTGTGCTTTTTACCTCTTGTCTTTCATTAAATTGTTTATCAGAACTAATGCTGATTGAATTAGGGTTGATTTCTTTTGTTTCCCAAGGGCAGATGTCTCCCATAATGCTTTCTTGTCTTTTTGGAGAGTGCTGTGGTGCCTCTGAAACTTCCCAGGGACAAATATCTGTCTTTGAAACCATATTTTCATGTTTAAAATTAGTCATGGTTGCTTGTACAGTGCACCCCTGACCTTCACTAATGTGCTTACTGTCTTTGAAAAGAGGCTCTTCCTCCACTTCCCAAGGGCAGATATTAGTACGTATGCTGGTCTGCCTTTTAATCATCTGTAAGTTTACAGTCTCCCATGGACATACGCTTTCATAGGTACTCTGTTGTTTCCTAGCCTTGTTTTGTAATTCAGCCTGCATGCGTTCTTTAGTATCTGTCGTCTGAGTCGCTGTCTCTTCCTGAAGTTTTCTGGGGGGAATATTGGCTGTGTTTCTTTGTTGTGTATGTAGTGCTAAATTATGTGATACAGGAATATACATCCCATTGTTGTCTTTCCTTAGAATTACAACATTGTCCATCATTGAATTTAAGAGACTTGAAGAAGAATAACCCACACTGTCTTCAGACTTAGATATCAACATTTCCACATTTGCTTCCTGCTCTTCTTCTGAAAAAATACCTTTGTCCTTACCACTGCACTTACTAGTTCGCTTCAGACCTTTTGTTGAGTTACAGGAGGTACCACATAATGACAGAACCCGAAGCTCCTCGGGCTGTGCTAAGATTGTGATGGGGGAGTGAGGGGCACTGCCTGAGGCAGAAAGCTGAGCTTTGGCTACTTCTGAGCCTGAGTCTGACCCCTCAGTATTTCCAGTGCGATCCTCACTTTTCTTCTGGTCTTTGCTCATTATGTCTTCTTGCACCCAAATGATGCTCTCCAGTGGAAAGTCACATGGCAACTTTTCCACTGGACTGTTGTGTTGCATTAAAGGGGATTCTGTCCTTTCTGTAGATTTTTGGCCATTTTGGGGGTGAATAGAATAAGTGACATGTTTGTGACTTCTATTTTCAGCAAAACATACTTCTGCCTTGTTAGATAATTCAGACAGATGTGCATTTAATGTCTGAGAACTGATTGTTAGCTGGTGTTTAGGATGACTCTCTTTCTGGCTTGGCCTACTGGAATGCTGGCCGTCATCTGCAGTGTAGATCATGCTTGGATGTAGAGCTGAACCATCCATGTTGCTCGTCATTACACTCAATGACTTCTGCAGCTTTTTTGGCATAGGCTGCAGTAATTGATTATCAGCAGAGAGGTTGTGTGCACTGGCAGATTTGTATACAAATGGTACAGCTTCTTCAGACTTTATTTCGGAGCTCTCTGAAGCTTTTTTGGTCAGCTTCCTTCTCATGGAAGAGTTTAGCAGTGAGGAATCTTTAACATCACCAGTGCATAACTGGTGCTCTTGGCCACGGTCATAGGTACTGTGGGATTTACAGCGCAGAAGAACACCTTTGTTGAATGATTCTTCTGAAGACCTGATGCTACCTGACTCCAAGATCTTCTTTTTGCATGATGCTGGTTTGCTTCCTCCTCCACTATATTGTGAGACTTCCTCACGACTACATCGGCGACTAATAGACCCTGGAAACCTTGTGATGTGCTTCATTATAGACTGGCCCAATCCCAAATGAGAGCTGCGCTTTTTTGGCAAGTGGGGGTTGTTTGCACTCATCTTTTTGGTCTTGTGTATCTCCAACTGCGCATACAACTTCTTTAACTCGTCCTAGGGAAGAAAGAAAAAGGAAATGCAAATTCTCAAATGCAAAGAACAAAAAAATCACGTAAGCATGATGATCAAACTTATCACAATACTTTCAGGTGTATCAGTATCAGTCATTTCGGTGTCGGTCATTTCAGTGTCGGTCATTTCAGTGTCGGTCATTTCAGTATCGGTCATTTCGGTATTGGTCATTTCGGTATCGGTCATATCTGTTGCTAAATTGCAAATGAGGTGTATAATGTTTGTATGGGCATGATATCCAAAGTGGTTTAAAATGTTTCAGATATATATTAAAATGTATAAATACCATAAAATTTCATAAAGTTTAAATAGTTTTTAAAAACCTTTTACCCGTATATCATCGGAGTCCATGTTGTGCTCGTTCCAGGCAGAGGCAAAGCTGCTATTGAAGTGCGAGCATGAGCGCTGGAGGTCCACCTCCTCCTCATATACTTCTGCTGCCATCTCCTTGCGTATTGGTTGCGACATGTACAAGAACTGAAAAGGCAAGTATAGGCAAATAAACATTTAATCAAGCTGGAAACACCAAGTATAAACAGTACAGTGCACAAGTTTTAGGCAGTCAAAAAAAATGTTTTAAGCTATTTATCTGGGTGGTAAGTGTACATTTGCTCAGAAAAAAACACAATTAACATTAAATTAACATTAGAGTATATGTAAATCACCAGTAACAGAATAAGATTTCTTTTCTCCAAAAAGTTATTGATCTCTTGGATGACTCTAATGCTTCAGTTCCAAAAGCCCTCTTTAGGGGTATCATAGCCTTTCTATGTATTTATAGTCATTAATTAACATAGTTACTTTAGAAAAAAATTATGAGGCATTGCAGTAGCAATCATCTAAGCAGCCAAGCCAAGAAATACATGGATATGTTGGATGGTTATTGCAAATACTGGGGTGATTTTAGGAGCGGTTTTGAATGGCTTGGTTAACACACTTTGACAGACATAATATCATAGTATTTTTTTCCAAAGAATGTAAAGCAAGTATTTCACAAATGTTTTTATGAAGCCAAGAGTAGTAAAACTGTAATAGCATTCACTGACAGCACGCTGCTGCATGCACCACATAAGATGAGAACCCAAGTGCCAAATGGATCAGTGCTTTGTTTTTCCTTCTAGTAGCTAGAGGGCCAATCCTGCCACTAATCCCCAAATTTCCCTGTAAATTGGAGGACCTTGCAGGGCTGAACGTAGATTAACATCATACCGATTGCTGGCACAGAGTCCTAGCCTCAGAGCCACCACTCTGTCTGCTGTGTATGGTTTAGAAAGTGTTCGGCGAAAGCTTATCCAGAGAAGTGCTGAAACTGAATATTACCTTGGGAATCAGCAGAAGTCCTAGAGTCACAGAGACGGTGACATGAGTGTGGGTGAAAAACAGCAGTAACATCCAATCTGGGTGCAACAAGGGCAGAGCAAACCTGTTACGGAAAGATTGAGATTGTAGCTGACAATGTTTTACTACATTTATATCCATGACTTTTCAGGTTTAGCTTTTGTTTCACATTTTTGTTTCGCAAATATGAAAATCTTGCATGAGGAGGATGGTTAGACAAAACACATAATTTATAGGTTGAGTAGAATATGGAATTTTGAAATTTACCTGGTGATATGGAAGGCGGATGAGAGGAGCAGCTCATTATGGATTGAAATGCCCATGTAGTGTGACTCATGAAAGGCAGAGGGGATCATCCTGACAGAATTATGCAGAGAGCCCCCCCAGCACAGGAACAGCAGCTCGGCTGCAAAGGAGAAACAGTGAAGTTTAAATTCCTCTCCAAAAATGCCACTGAAAGAAAGTAAGCAGAGAATGAAGAATTAGATTATACAGAAAAAACTAAACAGATTTAATGAAATTATACATTTCTTTATCCATGTACATAATTAATCTGCTGAAATGTTTTTGGCAAACTGAGCATATTCCACATACAACAGCCTGGCATAGAGTGAAAGCCGGATGTGAGGGGTGTGTAAGCTGTCTTACTCTGAGCTCACCTACGGCCATCATATAGTCCCAGCGATCTAAATCACACAGACTGAAGCTCTTCCCCTCTGGAGTGCTGGAGGTGATTAGCAAGGGAATGTTACGCTCACGGTTTTGCAGCACGCTCGCCGTCCAGGCAGACAAAAACCAGCCCACCGTCAGCACGATAACTCCCAGCAGCCTCAACATGTGTGTGCTGGACATGTAGGGGACCCGCTGGGCAGTACGGGACAGGAACACCCTTAACACCCTTTGGGAACAGTCAAATATGCAGCTTCAGTTATGACACATGCTTAAGTTGATACACTATATCATTACAATCTCCACCATGGTGTCAGAAAGCCTCAGGCAATATAAGGCAAAATGAGTGAAGCTGGGTGATGAAGATGATGTGTCACAAACCGGTACATCTTCAGTGTTATAGTGCCATAAACCATAGCGAACCCCATAAGGCGCACCCAGCGAAGTAAGATACAGCGGAAAGTGCTGGGCTTGAAGTACAAGATGAAGACCTGCAAGAGATGCCACGCAGACTAGCGTGAGTCTTACCCTGTAGGATAGTCTGCGTTGTTATTATTATCATTTTTTAAATAAAGTTGTGGCTCTGCAATTCCAGGGCTCTCAAGCCAGGAGGATTTTGCTACTTTTCATTGCAAACAGGCTCTGTTATCTAAATCAACTGTCAAACTACACAGAAAACGTAAGTAAAATGTATGAATGATTTTATTTTAAACCCAAGCAATGAATAACGATAAATGAAAACCTCAGACTTACAGGAAAATACAGCAGCAGTGAGCCAAAGAGGATTGTTTCCAGCAGCAACAGACCAGATGCCCTGATGCTCTGAGAAAGATACACACACACACACACACACACACACTGTATAAAATAAAAGTGAGTGGCACGGCTGCTGTCCATCGTGGAGCTGAGTCTGATGACAGCCCTGTTTTCTTGTTTTAGAAGTTCTGTGCATGAATGTGTTGTGCAAGTGTAAATGAAAACCACAGATTAAGACAGCAAGGAAACTACTTTGGCAGAGCTACAACTTGCACAGCCAAAACAGCAGTTTATTTTCCTCCTGTCTTATTAATGCCATCCCATCCAGCCAGCCCGTGACAGTGAGAGACACTCAGTCCCTCTAATCACAGTGTCACACGGTGATACTTCCCCAGTCCTTACGCTTCCCACTGAAACAAAACCAACAACATCTCTCACATGATATCGCTTATTGTGCTCATGTTCACATTTATTGATTTAGTGGACACTTTCTAAATTGTTTTAATAGCCTAAAGAGTACCTTCCTTCCTTAATTATGCATTTTTTTCAAGGGGAGGATGATTTCATACTTTTTTTATACTGCTTCCAGATACACATGTTTGATATGTATTAAACACCCTCAGCCCCCAGCATTTTTATAGACATGTCAGACTATAAAATATATGTGAAATATGAAATAAACTAATTCAACAATACTTAGGAAGTTTGAAATATATTTTATGAATATTTCATAACAATATTTACCAGATACTGTATCAGTATTAGTTTCCTTTATAATACTGAAAATTGCACCATTATAATAACCTGCCGTCCTCCATCTTCCAAAACCTTTATGGAGCACATGGTCATGGAGAGTCTATCCCAGGAGAACTGTGGACCAGTGCCTACAACTCAGTGAACCACCATGTGACCCTTAATCATAAAATGTCATTAATTTAGAATATATGCACTATTGATGTATAAGTTACAAACGAAGAACACCATATTTTACTCTTGGCCTGAACTTCAATTTAAAATAAATACAAAATCACTTTGAACCAACTTTGCACCAGATCAAAAGTAACAATTTTGATTCGAAAGTTATCAATATTCAAAATTTTTAAATCACTCTTTATTTCAGAGGAATGCTGTCCTTACCTTGTTCTGACGAAACTGGTAGGCCACAAACATATTGATGAGTACGAGTAGCATAAAGAGGCTCTGCACTGCCAGAACTCCCAACCGTAGGTACCGGGTCCCCTGCACCTTGCAAGGGGCTCCATCCTTACATTGCTTACAGCCTGGCCAGCAGGGCAGACACGCGGGAACAGGGGGCGATAATGCTTCCCCTGTATTGGCTGTGCCATCCTCCCCAACTCCTAGGTATAAAATCAGGTAAAGAAACACTAATAAACAAAATCTCCAAAATCTTGGAATCTCCAGCAGTATAAAATCATTTGGAATCAAGCCATCTCCATGCACTGACATATTTTGATATTGTGGAACAATAGTCCTAAAATGACAAACTTGCTAGGGTATGCAGTAAGGTGATCTGCTTACGTGCATTTTGAGTGCCTAGTGGGAGGCTGTAGTATCCCTCTTTGCACAGGCAGGCGTACTGTCCGAGCCGAAAGCCCCGCCCATGGACAGGTTCACACTGGGTGTAAAGAAAAGGAGGAACATGGGTGCAACTTACATATAGCCTTAACCTCCATACACCCATCCATCTTCAAAGCCGTAATCATGGTCGGAGTCTCTGGGGGACCTGGAGACTCTCCCAAGCAGCATAGCACAGAAGGCAGGGTACACCCTGGACGGGATGCCAGCCCGCCACAGGGCAGAAGGCAGGGTACACCCTGGACGGGATGCCAGCCCGCCACGGGGCAGAAGGCAGGGTACACCCTGGACGGGATGCCAGCCCGCCACGGGGCAGAAGGCAGGGTACACCCTGGACGGATGCCCTTTTTAGGGCCCACACACTCATACTCTGCTTGGACAGTGGGAATAAATCTACACCACAAAAAGTAATGGAAAATGTGCATGTAACTACTAACTATGAATAGCACTCATATTGTATTTTGGTGAGCTATTCTTTTTAAATTTATAGTTTAGCCATCATTGGCTTCTCAAGTGGTTCTTCAGCACGCCAACCACATCTGACCATTTATATACCTTCTCCTGGAGAAGCGATTTCTGTATATTCAAAGTATTATTTCCTTCAGTAGGTAAAATTACCTAAAAAGCCCTATGGATCATATGGGCTTTACACACATTTCATTCATAACGTCAGATCTGTAGCAACTATTATCACCACAGCTGATAAAGGGTATTATAAACTGGAATCTAAACGTTCATCAATTTTTGGAGAATTTTATAGCTAAAATCCTCAAATACTGGGAGATCTCAACTGGCAGGCAATCCATTCCACGAAAGCTTACATAAATCCGAGTTTATGTAAGTAGGATTCACCTTCCCATACCATTTAAGACCCCTTATAGCAAAACACACATAAGCCAAAATATACTAGCAATACACACTAAAGAACACCTATTAAATAACTGAAAAGTATACAATTACTTATGGATGTATGTTGCCTTTTTGCGTTAGCACTTTATATATTTATTTAAACTTTATGTATCCTGGATGTTCTTTGCATAAATCCGAATTTACTGAAGTTGATCTCACAAAGTCAAGATGCACCTGTGTATTGATCTTACTGAGGCATTTATGGTGAAGGAGGAACCTTCTGTAGGAGTCCCTTAGCAATATATGTTCCCTACCTTTGACATCCTTGGTCAGGCTTACGGTAGCTTTGACTGGTTAACAGGGCCTCAGGGTGTGTGGTTTGCTGCCTTTCAGACTATTTCTGCATTTGGTCTTCAGTATAAAGTTAACTGTGAGGGTCATGGACAGGGAGATCCATGACCCCAGCCTGATACAGAACCTTCATCAGGTTAACTCTAAAATGTTGGCATCTCAGTCTTGAAAACCTCTTTCTTTCCAAGTGTGGCAGATGCCCTAATTGATGAAAATGGCTGGCAACTGATCCCACCACTGGGGGATGCTATACTCTCTGTTCTGCATTGTTTGGGCTGTCCTCCTACAACCTTCTTGTGTACGCACGAGGTTGTGTAGTTAGGCAGCATAATTCTGATTGGCTTACAACTGTTAGTTTTAAAACCAATCCATGCTTTAGCTGTTCTGAAGTTCCACACCTTGGTAAAAGAAACCCAGACGAGTGAACAATAAGAGACAGGCTCTGTGGATGGACACTTTTCAATGCAGCTATTTTTTCCAAACCTGATAGTTGTGACATTTCTACTATTAACATTTATTAAACACACCTGTTGTACGAATGGGGTAGAACATTGAATCAGACTCACAGTCTTGTACTTGTTTTCCAAAGTGAATGTTCTTTGCATACAAATAGTGACGCCAAATTAAACACTTATTGTGATGGCAAGTTTCTTTAAATTGCATTTACCCTTGAAACATTCAGCAAATGTTGTCCCTAAATTATAGTTCAATATTAACTGCCACTTATATTCATGGGGTGACATAGTGGTTCAGCAGTTGGGAGTTTAAGTCCCACCTCTGCATGAATGAAGTTTGCATGTTCTCCCCTTTTTCTGTGGGTACTTCAGTCTCCTCCCGTGGCCCAGTGTCTCTAAAGTGCCCACAGTGTTTGACAGTAGGTGTGCCCATGTGTTCTCTGTGATACAGGTTGGCATCTTGTCCAGGATGGTACCCAGGCTAGTGCCCAACTCTAGACCAGAATGTGTTCAGAGGATGGAAAGATTTACCACATTTTCCAGTTGCGATGAGAACTCATCAAAATAGAACTGGAAGAAAATAACCTCCATTAAACTAGTTACAGTCCATGTATGAATAGTCAACATGTTGATTCAGTTTTGAGACTGCATACCTTTAAAAGTAGTATCTCACTGAAAAGCTCAGCACAAGTAGTAATGACTGAAAACAACATTCTCCTCACAGAGGAGATCAGTCTGCTTAACAGGGAGGGGTTGCAGTTTCCAGATTATTCTTGTTAATCCTGTAGATCATGCCCTCATTACCCAAAACACATTTTTAATAAAAAAAAAAAAAACAAAAATGAAAGGGAGTGGATTAGGTTTTTCATTTTTTTATCCCTTATTTTATGCCATTTTAAATGTAATTGTAAGAAAAAAATAGCCATTACATGTATTACGTGCCATTATGAACCACTATATATGAGATGAATTTGGTATGTGTGCAGTTTATATGCTCTTCCTGTGTTATGTGGGGGTGCTCTTTGTCTGCCACTCAGACACATGTGATTTGGCACATCTGTACATTGTGTTTCGGTGCTTCCCATTGGACGGGCATTCTGTACTGAGAGATCCCCCTGTGAAAGAGACTGGATCCAGGTCAACATCCTGACCCTGTACTACAGGGGTGGCCGGTGTGTATGCAGGATTTTGGGATAACCTGTAGGTCAGCTGTTCAAACCCATGTGTGAGAACTTTTCAGCCAATCAGTTCTCTAATTAGTAATCTAATTAAGGAGTTACAGTGAAAATCTGCATATGCAGCGGCTCTTTCTGGATAAGATTGGCCACTGCTGTACTGGATAAATCACTGGAAGATGGATGGATTGTCAAGCAGCTTAAAAGGATTCCATTTGCTTAATTTGAATTTGCATGAATGTGTGCCCATGTGTTTTCTGTGATACAGGCTGGCACTCATGTCCAGGATGGTACCCAGGCCAGTGCCCAACTCCAGACCAGAATGTGTTCTATTTTAAATTTAAGTGAGAGATCAATACACTGTTTTCAGAGCAAAATCAAATAAAAAATATTACACAAATATGTATAGATGCATATAAAACAAACTAAAAAATAAACAGCACATATCATACTACAGCTACAGATTTTACTGTACCAAGGTAAATACCGTCATGCAGTATATGAAATATATTTCATACCACTACTGCTTTTCTAAATAATTCATATTTTGCAAATACAGTAAAGTGTTATTTATAATGTAGTCCTGTAAAAAAGCACAATGTGGCATTACAACTGGATGGTCACCTGACCCCTGAATCTGATTCAGACTCTAGGCTACCCCTATCCTAAACTGGGAAGGTTTAATCCATCCATCCAATTGGATGGAAGGATTAAGAAATTAAACAATATTCATTACAGCTTTCAGAATAATACTGTTTGCCTTTAATTCTGCAACTATTTTTTTTATTGAATATTAAAAAACAACATGGCACAAAGAGAACTAAAATACAGACTAAAATATTTTTGAAGTCTTTTTAATAAAGAACAATCACTGCCCCTTTTCCATGCCAGTGTTGGAATCAAAGGCTGTTTTTAAAGTTATTAAATGGTTCCACACAATCGTCTCCCTATATATGTGTTACATTTTGATTACATTACATCATATCAAAATGCTGTATTTTGAATGTTAGTCATTATTGGTGCATATGGATCAATGTGCTTGAATATACCCAGTACATTTGTTCATTTGGCATGATCACTTCATCTTGGACTTACATGCATGGTTGTGCGATTGCATCGATGTGTGTTGGAGAACCAATCTTTTCTTTGCGCACACTGGTCCACATCAAAACTTTGTAGACTGACATCTATACGGATCACTCCCCTGGAGTAGGAATACAAGCAGCAAATAAAATTTTTATAATGAGTTAAACTGAAAGTGTTCAATACAACCCCAATGTAAATTGGTGTGGTGTAATTTTCACTATAATACAACACACATCATACAATACAATCTACTAGCTCCAGTAATGAAATGCTATTCTAATGCACAGTACCTGAACATGTTGACCAATAGATCCAGTCAATCCTATAGGTCTAGAGGAGGTGCTGACTGAGCAAACTGCACTGCATGGGCTTCGACTTCGACCAGCCATGTTCACCTGTCTGTGTCCTTATATATTCAGTTACAACCACATGATTTGCTGTTTAAATGAGCAGCCTGTGTGAATTAATGAGCAGGTGTGGCCAATGAGTGTATATGAGGATCATTCATTCATTCATATATAATAAAATGTAATGCTATTTGCTACTAAAAAACTGCATCAGAAATTCGGGTTGTACAATATATCAGAATGTCTGTGACTGGAAGGTTGCTGGTCTGAGCTCTGGCCTTGGCAGAATAGTCACAGGACTTTTTGGCCCTTGAGCAAGGCACCAAACCCCCTGAAATACTCCAGGGGCACTGGATACATGGCCTGACCCTGTGATCAAACCATAAGCTTCACTCTGTACTGTGAGTGCGTATGTATAAAAGGAGTGCAAGACAGGATATGCAAAAAGCTGCAGTCCAGTGTGCCTGTTCTCATACTTACGCAGATGGAAAATAGATGATCATTTCATTTTCATTTCAGTTTTTACAGTGGTAAGCATCGCTTGACTGAACAGAAAAACAACCTTGAACATAGAGTGTAAGTGAAGTAAATGAAGTATAAAATTTATAAAGCATACTGTTACTGTTTTTTATATGCACCAAAATGTTAGATCTTTGTTTAAATTTTTAAATCCTGGATTAATCCTGGTTCTGCGAGCAGAAGGCAGCGCTGAGCAGCAGGTTGCTTCAAGGTTCAACATTTCTAAGACAGCGGTACAGAAGAACAAAATGAAGCAGGACACACCGGAAACAACCAGAAACCAACCAGGCAGAGGGCGGAAGCAACATTCTAATGCCAGAGACGGCCGTTAACTTATCCGAAAGGTTCTCATGAATTGAAAAAGGACATCAAGTGACCTTCTAAAGGAATGGGAAACGTTAAGTGCAGGTGTGAGGTGCACTGCTAGGACAGTTCATATCAGGCTCCTACTGTAGAAGCAGGAGTGAAGTCCCATGAAGCAAGGAAGAAGCCCTTCATTAATGATAAGCAGGGAAGGACCAGGCTGCAGTTTGCAATACAAAATATATGATTAACAGACTCACCATAGAGTGAGAAAAGAGTGAAACAAATAACTGTGCTGTGGTATCTTTCCGTGATTACGTGAAAGGACCGGACGTACTCTACAATAAAACGTATATAAATAATGTACAGTAAGTGTGTCAATAAGGAGTATCATGCACCCACATGTTTGTAAAGCATGCCACTTAAATACCATTTAACAATGCACCGCTGACTTTAGACATGGTTTTTGTTGTCCAAAGCACGATGTAATTTTGCTTCCTTAGAATAGCAATAGCAACGCCCCATTTAAAAAACAGAACTCCTACGGACGCAAAGCAGGCGCAAAATCATTTGCTATTTTGACAATGTGCGCGCATGGTGTGAAAATGTGCAATGCACTGGTACAAAACTAGCAAAACTTTGTGTCAGTGGAAAATAGGACCTTAAAACTTGCTTCTGTGGATACATCCGGATGACTTGAGAATGGGGAAAGGAATGGGGAGTTTATTGTAGTTTGGGGTCTTTAATTATGATGAAGTGAAATCGGAACAGAAGGTAGCCATTTTGGCTTTTATCAGTGGGGAAGAACACCGGGAAAGAGACTGGACTTAGTTTGTGGAAGTATAAGAAGGTCAAGCTGTGGGGGCCAAGGGTGAAAAGAGGAGGCTGCTTTACAACAATAATATTATGGGATGTCACCTGATTTATATGCCCTTTGACATCTTAGGACATTCAAATACAATCCAATGGGCTGCTTATGGAGAACGACAAAAACAGCAAACAAATCTGAATGCAGGCGGTATACTGTACAGACTGGCCACTAAAAATGTTGGGGTGCACTTAGCAGAACTCCTTACCTGTACACCACCACTCTAGTCATGACAACAGTATCTCTACTTCCTGTAGTGTAAGTATCCCCCCCCCCCCGCCAATGTGACCAATGTGCCAGAAATGCAGAAGGCAGCCAATCAAGTAAATACCGAAAGGTGCAAAACTGACCGTTTGATAAGTGATATCCAAAGACACAAGGCCATAGAACAATAAGTATAATATGAGGTATTGGTACTGTATAAGTATCAATGGTCTGACAGTTCTGCTACCTGGCATTTTACTTTTGCTTTTCTTCACTCCTCCAGCAGATTGACGGGTTACAGAAAGAACAAAATATCCCTGATCCTGCCACCCCACTGAACTAGCAATGGCTGGCGGCTGCTGCAGCAGTTATTTAGTAGTATTTAGTAGAATACTCCCTTAGAAAAGGGCATCTTGTAGTGGCATATGAGACTAAGAGTGTTTGGCAGTGTATATGTTTTCAGATTGCAATAAACCCCTTTAATTTATACTTGACCGCAATAATAGTTGATTAAACAATGGTACAAAGATGGCTGAGTACTGTGGAAAGGAGTTGGGCTGATGTTTGTAAGCTTATCTTGGATTAAAACCTGACTTTTGAAAAGAAGGGTAGTATGTGAATTTCCCTAGTGAATGAATAATGTATGACGCAATCTAACAGCTTACATGGGAACAGGGATTTTCACCCTCCCCTCAGCTACTTGGTGAATCCTCCAGTAGGAGAGAAGATTGATACACATTTTGCTCCATTTCATTTGGGAATTCCAGGTTTAAGAAAGGTCAAAAACCTCTACAATTAGTCATTTAAACATCTGCATTACAAAACTATTAAATATGTTTTATTTAAAAGATTTTTAATGGTATAAATTCACACAGAATCGCTGAAAAGTATTCATAAAGGATTTTTAGTTACAGGCTAGTATTCTTCTTGGCAGTATTCTTTCTGTTCTTTTATGGAATTCCATCCCAAACAAAAGTTGGTAGTCAACAGTGAGTTACTTTATGCAGGTACACAGGCAATCAAATCCATTTTTATAAACTTTAATATGAAGTAATTTAGTATAAAGTAATACATTTACATCATCCAAGCAATATAACAATACAGCATTCTCTTATATTATAAAAACAATCTATTTTTATGATGTTTATTTTTTTCAGTAGCCCCTCAAAAGGATGACTGAGACCATAATAATTGTGAGCCATCTAAATCTTTTCTGGATATGCTTACATAGTGCATGGCAGTGTACCCACGCAATGGCCAGTTTAGAGTTACCAATTCACCTAAACTGCAGGTCGCAGAGGAAAACTATATGGATGGAGTATACAGTTCATTACAATGTCAAAGTAAATATTTACATTAGGAGTGCACCAGGAAAAGATGTGGTAATTTCACAGATCGGTCACTTACCTGAACTCCGGGCTGAGATCAGGTTTGAGACCATAGAAGGAAGTAGAAAGCATGAGCAGCCAGTCAGGAAGGAACTGCCCCTTGTCACACTCTAGAAAAGGTGCACTGGCCCAATGAACTTCATCTCTATTAGTCACATAGCTGTCACCTCGTCCCCATTTCGGTGTCTCCAAGGTATTTAGGTCATTAAAAAGTATCCGTTTGGAAAGTGTGGGAGGTGTTTGAGCAGAAGACTTCAGGGCAGTGTACCAGCTGGCCTCAAGTGCTGGTGGAGATGCATGAAGGTCTTGCCATGCTGAGGAAAGGTCCTGCAGGAGAATGTCCTGGGACTTGTAGCTAGGGTGCTTTGCCTGGAGCACAAGCTGCGGCTGCAGTGCCGAAGGTTGAGTATCAAAAGCAAGGAGGGCCCGGCGGATGAGGGGGTCGCTCTCCAGCAGACCCCGCACCAAAGCATGGTACCACTCCAAATCATCCTTTATGCTGCTGTCCCGTAAGTCATTCGCCTGAAAAATCATGTTAAGGAAGTTGGCAGCATTAGTAATGGCATCCACAGCTGGGCGCAGCAAGAGACTGAGTTCTCCTGCTGGTCTTTGTCGTCCAGGTAACTGATACGCTTTAGAACAATTCGCCAGGGAGAGAAAGGTGGCATTGCCATTGTATAAATATGCTTCAACCAGTGGCCGGTTCTCGTCATCTGAAGAACTTACACTAGTCTTTGGATTCTGAAAGACAGATGAGGGACTGTCTGTCCTTTTCATACTTGCAGGGCCTGTGGAAGACACAGCACCAGCAGTAATGTCTTCTTGGAAAACTGGTATGTTCTGTGCTGAAAGGAGAGGAGCTAGGACCAGCATAGCCAAGAATTCCATTTTTATGCCAGGTATATATAAGTCTCTTTAGATTTGTTTCCTTCAGAAACTCCTGTTTAATTTCCTTCTTTAACCCTGTATATTAATTCACCCCCTGTCCACACCAGTGAATTACACTCAGCTGCTGACATTCTCAGGGTGTCTCAGAGAGACTGCAGATTGATCTTCTACTCCAGAGTGATCTTCTTCTAATATTTCAGACTGAATCTGAAAGCCATGCAAACCGTCCACGCGAGTGTAGTAAAAAGCTGAGCTGTTCCTGTTTCCAAAGGAAAAGAGAAATGAAAAGGATAGTCTTGCCAGGATCTCCCGCTGTGTGCTGCAGATTTCAATGCCTCTTGTCACCCTCCTCTTCTGTCACTAGCTCACCATTTTGCATTTAGTAATTTTCCATTGGGACCTGGGCGCATGTCACAGCTACAGAATCACTTAGCAAAAGAGATACGAGGGCATAATGCAGTGATGCTTAATCCTCCATCAATGCATGCATAACTGTTCTTCATTCCCCGGATTAGTTACCAAGCTCTGTCTGTAAAAGCATTGATCTTTTTATGGCAATGGTAACAAATGGAGCTGCAGTGATATGTGAAAGCGGAATGAATTAGCAGGATTATGAGGCTTTGATTCAGATGACAAGGAATTCAGGCCGTTTCAGTGCTGCTGTGGTCCCAGGGAAACAGCTTTTGGAGAAACCTCAAAATGTTTGGGCCACACTGCCATCCCATGTTAGCAAGTGTCTCAGTAAGCAGCCAATAGAATTATGGATGATGAATTTTTTTAAATAAAATGTACTACTTTCCATCCATTCATCATCTAACTGTACATCCAGTTTAGAGTTGCACAAGGCAATGGGATTGTATGTCAGTACATTGCAGTACACATACAGTACACATACAGTACACACATGATCACACATGAGCAATTTAGACACCTATTTGAAAGAGACCCAGAGAGAACATGCAAGCTTCTCCAGTCCTGGTTGTGTGAGGGACTACAGAGTGCACTGTCAAATTCATAATCCACATAATCCCTACTCCTCCCTCACCATTACAATTATTAGAATTACTAGATGGATGAACTGGAAAGCCAATAAATGTGTTTTTACCTGAATGTTCTGAGTCCTAGTAATGACATGTGACTCTGACACTCACTACACATATTCATTTATTGCACATTCCACTTAGTTGCAGGGTTTTGTCTTAGTGGACTACAGGCTTCCATTTGAAAGCTGCAGTTCATTTCAAGCAATCAGTGTTAGCACCAGTGGACCATTAGTCACCTTATTATACTTACCTGTTCCCTCACTTCAGTTCTAAGAGTCTGGTTTACCTCCTGCATCTGAGCTATGGATTGGTTTCTCTGCCTTTGGTTTTACTATTTGGATTTGTTTGCTGAATGTCACCAGTTCTTGATTAGAGTGGTGGCTGGACGATGCTTTCGGTCCTAAGCTCCGTTATCTACAGTTGTTCATTGTGACTAAGCCTCTTGTTCACTTTTCTGGCCAGTGTGATGATTGTTCTAACATGCCAGGCCATCTTCTGTGAGTCACTGTTTGATTCTCGTGATAGTTCTGCAGAGATAAGATACAAATATAGGAGGGACACTCAGGGAACTTCCTCTCCCCTTGCGGATATACTCCGTTTCCACTAATATATGTGGTATCAATGCATTACTTTGGCTGGAAGAACTACTGATATCACTTCCTCTTGTTATGATTGGCCAACGCAACCCATTTCCAGTTTGGGGAGAAGTTGGGTGCCCCTGAAATTGTTCATATTGCTGGTATCACAACAGATACTGTTTGATTGACTTACGAGATGAGTCTGGTTTAAATATCCAGTCAGTAATCAATGCCAGGTGTAAACACGTCATTCATTATGACCTATGTATGTTCCTTACTCTCACTGTGGGTGCTTATAACGCCATGCGTGCCAAGTTGTGTAAAATCCGGCCGTTTACATGTACTTACCGAACTGGCCCTAGACCATTATTAACCAACTAATAATAACGCATTGATGGACCCAAATTATTTGAGTTAATTTTTTCCTACATTGCTTTGCATTGCTTTGTAAACTTTTGCTTTGCGCTCTGACGACGCTGACCTCTCCTGCTGTTGTCACACACTCCGATCTGTGGCATGAATGCAATGACCAGGCTGGAATTTAGGCTGGGCATGGGCACTAGCCCTAGTGTGAAAGGGCAGCCTGCCCATGATCATAAATTGCTAACACTGTCTGTATTCAAATGAACAACCAAGAATATTGGGGCGTCTTTACTACTTTTCCTTACAGTTAGTCAGTACTAGAGGCCACACGACTATAGGCTGCAAAACGTTCTTAGCCTGGGGAGGTTGTTTTGGTTGGCCAGGTTGTCATCTTCTTGATCCAGTACTTGGACCAGGAGGTGTGGGTCCAGGAGGGCCTTTCAGTAATCTTGACTGCCAGGGCTGTCATTGAGAGGATCTGGAATGAGCCTTTAGACCGAGGAGAACTCCACCCGGATCGGTGGAGGTCAATCATAACTACTCAGCTGGTGTGAGTGCAGAGGTGCCTCCACTGGCACTGGTAATGATACTATCACCTGTTTGGCAGTTGCTCACAGAAATCATGTCATTCTTAAAGTTTTTCTCTTTCGTTCATTTCTCATATGATAACATTTGCAAAACAGCTAGTAAAATTCCCTACATTGTGGGGCAAAACGTCATGTCAATGTTTTAGTACATTATGCATAAAGTCTTTAGACAATTATCATCATTTGGCATAATGTTCAGTTACTTTAGTCTTGTTGGTCAAAATGGATAATGTACTGCAGTTTCCCACTGTAATAATTTTACACCCAAAACTATGTAAATGATCATCAAGCAAGTGAATTTTTTTTTTAAATGTATTCCGTAAATTGCATTTCTGTTGTGCATTGTGTGCTGCGGTGTATCAACAACAACAACTAATCACTGTCACTTCACTTTAAAATACATGATTAGAAAAGAAATTATCCTTTATTCACTATTTGAACAAGTACAGTTACACTGGAATGCTTCTCTTTGTGTACCCCATCTACAGTCAACTGCAGAAATATTGGCACCCCTCAAGAAATTGAGTAAATACATTAATATAATATAGATATACATATAATGATTCTAATTTTACTCATATGTTTGGAGAAATCGCTAAGTATTCATTTCATAAAAATAAATTCTGCAAAAATGTTCTTTTATTTGAGAATATTTTGTCAAAAACATACTTGGCAAAATTATTGGCACCCATGAAAATAATATAAATAAAACCACAGGAATTTGGGACTTTAGGTAAAAAAAAGTGTTTCTTGATATTGTTTTTAGTGTCTATGAACTTTATTGTTGTCTATGACCGTCTCCTGTTTCACTGGGGTATAAACATGAGGTAACACAGGTATAATCCTTTTGTCTTCCATTAACAATGGTAAAATGAAAAACCTGTAAACTCGAATGAGAAAAAAAGGCTATTGAGGTGCATGGGGAAAAAAGGCTATTGAGGGAACAGCTACAAAAAAATGGTATTCAGTTGAAATTACCAGTAAGCACAATCATGGCCATAGTAATGAAATCTGAAAAGCATGGAACTGTTGAAAATTTGCCAGAAATAGGGCGCATCAGCATACTGCCCCCACGAACAGTGAGGAGGATGGTGAGAGAGGCAAAAAGGAGTTCACAGATCAACAGTGAGATGCCACCTCCATGACAAGTCCCATGAAAGAAGCCCTTCCTGAGACCGACACAAATCCCATTGTCTGATCTTTGCCAAGCAACAATGGAGTTACAACTGGAATCGTGTGTTGTGGTCAGAGCCACTTCTTGCTATATCCTCCTGAGGTCCAGCAATTCATCTTTGTCCCCCGTAGAGGACATTATGTTTTTGCTCATATCTCTCATAATACATATGCCACTCTGTAAATTCCTATTGTTTCTTAAAGAGGATAGTTAGAGCTTTAATATGATGTTACATGTTTGCTGATATGACCTTGCTAACCTGCTCTTCCTGTCAAATCAAAATTTTTAAATCATTATGACTTTTTTCTCCTCTGGATCTCAAGAGGCTATGCGGACTATGCAGATGCATTGGGCCCTGGCAGCCACTAGGGGGCCCCCAAGCTACAAGTTCACCTGCAATGATAGAGAAGCTGTGTTTGTGGGGTAATCAATTCAAAATCATCATTAGGCTGTCGTGCCATGAATGACATCTAGCGAAAGATATGATGGGATGAATGACAGCCACATGTCACATCTAGAGGAAAATAAACAGTAGCCCAAGCCAGATGGCATCAAAAAGGCTAATCCCTCTGCACTTCAAGGGGATTGTAAGTAACAATTAAAATAAAGATGTTTCTCAACATAAAACTTTCCGTTTGTTGCATATTCCCATCTTAGTTAGTTAACAAATTAATTTTCTATGTTGGTCGAAATTAAAAATAAAGAATACTCCGTCAACTTAGTTATACACATGTATTTTGTACAAATATTTTTGCACTCCCTTAACATCTGAAAAATGCTAAGTTACTGCAACTTCTGGAAGTGAGTCTGATCTGCGCAGAAGCTTTGGGTGCTTTTCTACCACACCAAGTACCGCACTTTTGATACGTTTCCACTGACTTATAATTTCCATACAGAGTTTAAAGAAAACGTCTGATCTTAATCTAACTGACTAGCTACGTAAGAATTGTTTTAGTATTACCCAATAATTGATACCAAAAACATTAAAAAAAATAAATAAAAATACATGCAAATTGTTAACATCATTTTTGAAGTTGAACCGAAGATTAAGGTAAGTATGGTGTGGAAGTTCAAACTGAGGCTGTTATCGGATTTACATGAGGGACATCCTGGAATAACCTGGATGAAGGCATTAGCCTGAAGTTTCCTGTGGTGGCCTGGGCTAGATCAGGAGATACACAACTTTGTAGGTCAGTGCACAGCATGCGAAACTATACTGAACAGACCTGCAGCAGCGCTGGACTGTATAAGCAGCACCGTCTGCTGGTAGTAGATGTTTATTCAAAGTGGCTTGAAGTCCTGATACTAAGAATGGTTCAAGGGGGTTGTAAGAAGACGGCACACCTTCTCAGGAACCTCTTTCCATCACATGGCCTGCCCAAGGTGCTAGTATCAGACAATGGCCCTCCATTTACGCCAACAGAGTTTCAGCAGCTTCTCAAGAATAATGGAGTCCGCCATGCTCTGTCACCACCTTATCACCCTGCATCCCACAGAGCACGGGAGCGAGCCGCGCAGATGCTCAAGAAAGCCTGGACTCAGCTGGAACCTCTTAAACCCGTACACTCAACCCATTGAGCCATACAGCAGTGCTGGGAAGAGGAATAACACACTATGGCCAAAGACAATGCGATGACCAGCAATGGCTGCTGACTGCACAGGGAAGAGACACAAGGACAGGGTCAGACAGGCACTGAACCTGACAGAAACATACTTTTGTCAGGCAGGGGGAGCCTGGGTTTGAACTTGTAACCCTGGTTATCAGTCAGACAGTCTCCCAGTTAAGCCACACAAAGAGAGACTAAGGGAATACTGTCAGGCGTGGGATTCAGACACATGCCTCCAGGGGAGATTGTGAACTGAACGCAATGCCTGAGACTGGGCACCATTTAATGATGTTGTTAAAACATAGTCCCCACTGCAGCATCAGGGAACTTTACACGGCCATGTCCCACATTCAAACTGGGGATTCAAACTGATATGATCATGGCAATTAGCTACTAAAGAAGTTTGTTATTAATGCTAAATGCAATTGTAATAAATACAAGGAAAGGCTCCAAGTATAGAGCAGATGGCTGTTTGCTGTTTTTTTTAATTATTATTATTGCTTTGGCATTCGTCCTGAAACATACTTAACATTCTCACAACTATAAGAGCAGTTTTCAAAACAGTTTATGGATATAGCACAACACTATGGTTTAGCTGCAAAAGGCTATAACTTATGGCAATCCATTTTAGCTTTAATTCTTTTTAAATTTCTTGATATCAGAGATTCAGTTAAAGCTAGTTATAATATGTATTTCTGATATCTGATTTTTACTAGTGAAAATGCACATTATTGTTATAGAAAATTCAAAAGGTCTTTCTCATTCGTTTCAATGGGAGCTGGAATTTTAACTATCACAACTGATGATATCATAGCGCGAATCTGTTCTAACACAATCGATATATTAGAATTCAAGTCTAATATATGTGGAATTGCGCGATTTTTAGTCAGAGAGAAAAAGCACTACGCAAACTACAACATGAGAAGCACTACATCTTTTGAACAGTTTCTATTCAGCGAAATGGTCATACTGGTTTTAAAATCAACCAATTAATTGAATTAAACTTTTTGTACATTCACGCATTGCACAGCTTCAGCAGTCAAAGCTTTTGATTCTAAAAATCAAAAAATATTTGATAAATTATCATGTACAAACAGCATCATTTTTAAATTCACTTACTTTTGCCTTTTATAAACCGCCTATAGACACGTTGCCTTCAGTGTTTCTTCGTAAACCTAATCCGTTATATTTGTGGTATGTGCATGCCTGGTTACACGGCGGCTGTGGCTCCTTACACCCAGCTAAATGGTACTGTCAAACTGCAGTCCTGGGGGGCCGGAGCCCTGTGTAGCTTAGTTCTTTCCTTGTTCCACCACAAATGATTCAGCTCAACAGCTATGTGGTAATTAGCACAAGGGGTTGAATCAGGTGTGTTAAACGAGGGGAAACCCAAAAATGTGCAGGGCTTTGGCCCCCCAGGACTGGAGTCTGACACCTGTGCCTTAAAGCATGCCTCAAAGTAAACCAAGAGCTCCATCTAGTGGGGGGCATAAAATAAAGCAAATGGTTGATGAAGTGTAGTTTTGACCGTCATTACTCCCAATTACATTATTTATTAATATATTATTATTATTTCATTTAAAATGCATATAGTTACATTTTTGGCCACTGGTATCACTGTTTTTATTGTTTATAATTAATCTTGTTTGGCATAGATTACCAAGTTTTGAAGTTTCATTCCCCTAACCCAATTTTTCCCATTGAATGTATGTATTTTATTACAGAGTCCTCACTTAATGACATGCCTGTTTAACGACGTGCAGACTTACGGCCACCTATACAAAACTTTGGTCATGGAAATGACTGTGTGGCATCTCAGCGTCAATCATCTCATCGCCCTTTCTCTGTCTGTCTCGTTTTGCCAATTGCTCAGTATTCAATACACTAGCATTTGTAATCACCAAGACTGTCATGACATGTCATATTTTTATGTATGTATTTTTATGTTCTGTGATATGTACGAGTTTATAACAAAGTTATCAAGTTGGAGTTTCCTTTACACCTTTTCTTTATTCAGAATAAATAAAATTGATTACCTGTATTTACAGTATGCAAACCTAAGTAATGTATATTAGAGCTGATTTCCTCTATTGTTTATTGCAGTCGCTTATACTGTACACTACTGTATAAACATTTTTATATAAATGTATATATACTATAAGTACATATACATTTATACATAAAACATGTATATACATACTTAAAATGTTATAAATGGTGCAAAGGTGACATTAAAACAATATCTAAATATGGTTGACACAAACTCACCGTGTACCGTGTGCTTGAATTATCGGTAAGGGGCAGCTCCTAGATTGTCACTTAATGAATTAGCTGTAGTAACGGAACTATGTCGTGACGAGTGTCTGTATGTAATTTTAGAGAACGTAAGGTTGTTCAGGAAAGTGTTAGCCACATTATAGCAGGACTGACTAGTTCAAATTCCAATTTTTGACATCAGGACGTCAGTTTTAACTAGTCAAAATGCCACTTGTTGATATCAGAAATTAAATTTTACCTAGTTAAAAATCCATTATAATTTTTATGAGCTTCTGTTTTATAGGCATTATGAATAGATGTGATTTGATTTAATGAAATGTATTACAACATAACATTACACTTTGTTTCACATACTTAAATACACGGAATGAAATGTGTTCTTGTTCATTTTTCGGAGGTAATTTGTGTATGCCATATATTATCCACTGTGTGCTATACACTGTGTATTCTTTATTGATTGTAAATACAAAACTACATGGCTTAGATAGCATCAAGTCTGGCTGAGCAATGAAGCCGAACATGTCTGTCTGTGTAAGAATATCACAACAATCTCTTTTCGCAACATACTTTTCTTTTACATTGTTCTTATTGCTTCTAAAATTTCTCTAACCAGTTACACACTTGAACAAAGTTGACCATATCCAGGGGTTAACACAGATTAATATTTGGCTCTGTGGAAACCAGAAAATGATATCTAGTTATTACTTTATTACACTAGTCATGTGAAAAATGACATTACACTAACACATATGATATTTTGTTTCTCTTTAAATGAAACTCAAAAGAACTGAGGAAAAATGCTTGCTTGCTGTCCTTAAATTTAACATGTGAACATTATTAACTTCGATGTCTTTAATCACAAACTTACCTTACATATTCTAGTCACCATTTTATTTAAAATAAACCCATAGAGTGGTTAAAATGCATAACAATGTGAGCAAAACCAGTTCTGGCTGTCATGCTATTATCTTCCTTCTCTGAACAAATAGCATTCGTGATCCAAGAGATATCAAAGTAAAAAAAAATGTATGACTGAAAGCGATTAAAAGATTCTCCATGGCCACCACTCCCACTTTAGGCTATATATTCTCAATCTGTTTTTCTGTCTCTCACTTTCTGTAGCACTTAGCTGTTGGATCAACATCTTGAGAACTTTGAACGACTGACAAAATCCACGATGAGCTCCATGTCCACTTATTCCTTCGGCTTTAGAACCTCACCTGTGGCTTTATCTACTAGGCCTCCCAGTGTATATGGTGGGGCGGGGGGTAATAATGTCCGTGTCTCCAGCTTTGGGGGAACAAACACTGGCTTCGACCTTGCTGATGCGCTTGGAGGGGGCAATATTGCCTTTCCTGAAGTTGGACTTGCATTCAATGAAAAAGGCACCATGCAGAACCTGAATAAGCGCTTAGCAAGCTACCTTGAGAAAGTGCGGTCCCTAGAAAGCGCAAATAGTCAACTGGAGCAGCAAATCCATGAATGGTATGAAAAGCAAGTTCCGTCGTCCAGAGACTACAGCCAACAGGAGAAAACCATTACTGACCTACGCAGAAAGGTAACCTTTTTAAATTATAATGACAACTAAAACATCTGATGCTCATTCTTTTATGGGTCTTTTCACAAATGTTATCACTTGTCATCTAGACAGCATTTTGAAATAAGATTAGGTGCATAATTTCAGATTGACCTGTCTTGTATCACTGACATTTATCCTTGACCCTGTGTCTACTCCTCAGATTAGAGATGCTATTCTGGAGAACGCCAGAATCATTCTGGAAATAGACAATGGAAAGCTGGCTGCTGAAGACTTCAGAATCAAGTATGTAAAATTGAGAACAAACCATATTATGTAGCATTGACTGTAAATACACTGTGCCTAAAATGTCTCGATAATTCCATTCACAACGCCTGCTTTTGCTATATTGCCTGAAATAGTCTAGCTTGTTTAGGTATGTATTATGTATTATGAGTGCAGCATGGTGGCTCAGTGGGTATCACTGTAGCTAGCCTCTTTGACACTGACCAGGCATATCTTGTTGGGTGTCCTGTGACTATGTTTCACGTGATAGACTGGCACGCTTTCCAAAACGTCCCCTGTTTTGTGCCTTGGGTGACTTGGGATTCTAGGATTGGATAAACGGTCATAGAATATGAATCGATGTATTATGACCTGCTGAAATGAAGCATTTATTTTATCTAGGATGGAGACTGAGCTCGATATGAGACAATCGGTGGAGGCAGACATTACCAGACTCAGAAAGGCTTTAGATGATATAACAGTAACCAGGTCGGATTTGGAGATGAAGATAGAGCGAATGAAGGAGGAGTTAATCTTGATGAAGAAAGACCATCTGGAAGTAGGTGGCATGAAGCAACGTGCAGTGACATTTCTTTTTCGCTACCTTTTGTTTTCTCCCTGTTGCATTAATTGACATAATTTCTCCATTGTGAAACCCAGAATATGGCTATCCTGAGGGCTGAAATGAATGGCAGCTCAGTAAATGTGGAAGTGGATGCAGTACCTCAGTCAGACCTGTCGGAAGTCATGGTGAAGATGAGAGAGCAGTACGAGGCCATAATCCTCAAGAACCGCCAAGAGATGGAGATATGGTACAAAGGCAAAGTAAGCACAGGGAAATGGACATTTCAAATAATGGGGTTCACACTTACAGAACGATAATTTTCCTTAGAATGATGATTTGAATGTGCTTCTTCATATCAGTGGTTCCCTGTTCCCCACAGTATGAGGAGTTGAATAAGCAGGTTTCCCAGCACACAGAGCTTATACAGACATCCCGCTCTGAGGCTAGTGACCTAAAGAGGACCCTGGAGACACTGGAAATCGAGCTGCAATCTGAGCATAGCCGGGTGAGAATTTTAAAATGTACTGCTTATACGTTTCAATTAGTACTGTAGAGGTGGCAATGATTTCACACAAGGACTCTAAGGATGACACGGCATTTGTGTTATTTATTATTACACATTGGAATAGAAAATAGCACATCACCTAGCTTCTGTAGGTGTGAATGATACACATAAGCATTTTCAAAAACTCAAGAAGAGCAAGTAAGCAAGCATTTTGTTCAGCTAACTGCTATTGGACATGACAAATATCCACACACGCTCCAGTCTCTCTAGAATATGACTCCCCAGCTAGACTGTATTACCTGCATAACATTTATCCATTATCTAGCATTGCAAGCTTTTCATTTCTACTATAAGCAGTTTATATGTGTTTACACAAATTTGTCAAAAGCGAGATTCAACAATATGAAAATTCCTCTTTCCAACTGTCAAGCTGAAAGTTGTATGATCTATGAAGGCTGCTTCCAGAGCATTGTGAAATTGATAAAGCAAGTGATCCTTTGTCATTATTCCCAACAGAAAAGGGTACTGGAGAACACATTGTGTGAGACAGAGTCATGCTACTGTCAGCAGCTTGCCAAATTGCAGACAGAGGTCAACAGGCTAGAAGAAGAACTGGCAAGAATGCGTATGAAGATTGAGCATCAAGACAGCGAGTTCAGGAGCCTTCTAAACATCAAGACTCGCCTGGAGATGGAAATTGCGGAGTATAGAAGACTGTTGGAAGGAGGGGATATTCAGTAAGGGCAAATTTATGAATTTCTACTCTTTCCAGTCGGTATACCTTTTATTTAGCTACTTACATATTAATTCTAGGTTTGACACAAGCAGTTGAATTATTTTTTAATAAAATATTGATTTATTTCTTTGCAGACACAAAGTGGTTGAAGTTGAGAAACGTAAGTTTCTATTTAAACAAATCAAAATATTTATTGCTATTGTTAATATTTAGCTACATTTAGAGTAGATATAGAAGGCAGAAATTCTAAATCCATCTTTACATTCTATTACAAGATATATATATATATATATATATATATATATATCAAATGTTGGACTACAGAATGAATGGATATCTTGCATAGAATTATAGTATAAAAAATGATATATTGTTCAGTTAGGTCTATTTATGTGATTTTTTTTCTGAGCAAGTAAAAGTTTTGATTTAAAACTTTTCCTTCAGATTTATGTGCACTAGTGCATCAAACATATATCACAAGGCTATCACAGTAAAAATATTTCTGGTGTATAATGATGGACAATTTGCTTTATTGATGTAATTAACCATTTCCATCATCTTCCACAGCGGAGTCAATAAGGACCAAGAAAATAATAACAGTGGTTGAGGAAGTGGTGGATGGAAAAGTGGTCTCCCACACTGAGGATGTGGACGTTCAGGTTGTGACCAAGGAGTGAGACAAAGGGGCAGAGCTCAGATCTAGGATGGCCATGTCACCAACATAAAATTACCTATACCTGAATGCAATCTCAAATTCATATATATTTTTTATGGTTACCATTATATCTGATTAAGTAATCAAAAACAAAGTGGCCAGATCTTGTGCATACTGTTTGTCTTATTATTGCATGTGATGGGACTCAAAATGACAAATAAAGAGACAAAGCAAAACATGATGTCCAGCTGCAATGCTATAATTTAATATCTATCTATCTATCTATCTATCTATCTATCTATCTATCTATTTATCTATCTATCTATCTATTCATTCATTCATTCATTTGGTGGATTTAGGTTGAGGTCACATGGGCAGCCCAGAGGTGAATTTCCCAAAAGCATAGTTGCTAACTATGTTAGCACCTCACATATTTGAAACTATGCAGCTGCAATGCAATGCAAGTTTTTCCCTAAATCATAGTTTTGAGGTAATGACATTGGTAACATGTATAGTATGAACCATCGTTAAACAACACAGGTGTTTCCTAAAACCAAAAAACGTTTCCAAACACTGTTGTAAGTTGTGTATTTCAAATTACAGCTCTTGAGTTGTGGCTAGAAGCTTAGTTGCTAGTGGCTACATTACATCATCAATGATGGAAGGTGCAGTTAATGGTGGGTAGTCGCCATGTGAGTGAGCTGAAATTTGCTGTACACACATATACACTCCGGCCAAAAAAAAGTCGCCATTGGAATTTATATCAGCAAATACTTAAGAGCCAATGACTGGATCATTATTACAGCTCAGCTATGTTATGCAGCAATAAAGTGAAATCAGCTGAGTACCTGAATCTACTGAATGGCCAGGATACACCTCCATCCATCATCAATGGATTTTTTTCTTCCCTGTTGGCATGGGCATATTCCAGGACAAGAATGCCAAGATTCATTGGGTTCGAATTGTCAAAGAGTGGTTCAAGAAGCATGAGGAATCATTTTCACGCATGACTTGGTCACCACAGAGTTGAGACCTTAACCTCTTTTAAGGTCTTTGGGATGTGATGAAGGAGGCTTTATGGAGTGGTTCAACTCACTTGTCAATACAGGATCTCGGTGAGAAATTAATGCAAATATGGATTAAAATAAAGGGTGAGATGTTGCTTAAGCCTGTGGAAACAATGCCATGACAAATGTGCGCCATAATCAAAGCTAAAGGCGGTCCAATGAAAAATTCAAATGGCGACTTTTTTTTTGGCCAGGCAGTGTATAATGTCAAGTGATTTGAAAATTTAGTTAAGAACATAAGAAATTTACAAACGAGAGGGGGCCATTCGGCCCATCAAGCTTGTTTGGGGAGAACTTAACTAATATCTCAGAGTTGTTAAAATCTTATGTAGCTCTGATTTAAAGGAACCCAGGGTTTTAGCTTCCGCTACACTAGCAGGAAGACTATTCCATACTCTAACTACACGCTGTGTAAAGAAGTGCTTCCTCAAATTTGTTTTAAAATGTTCTCCCACTAATTTCCACTTATGGTCACGAGTTCAAGTATTTAAACTAATATTGAAGTAGCCATTTGGCTGAACAGTATCCAGACCTGTTAGAATCTTATAGACCTGGATCATGTCCCCCCTTAGTCTCCTTGCTCAAGGCTAAACAAATTCAGCTCAACTAACCTCTCCTCATAAGACATTCCTCTAAGACCAGGAATCATTCTCGTAGCCCTTCATTGCACCTTTTCTAAGGCAGCAATGTCCTTCTTAAGGTATGATGACCAAACCTGCACACAGTATTCTAGGTGGGGTCTTACCAAGGAATTATATAAATGTAACATCACCTCCCTTGACTTAAACTCCACACACCTCGAGATATAACCCAACATTATACTGGCCTTTTTTATTGCTTCCCCACACTGGCGAGACTGGGACATGGAGGTGAAAAAAAATCAAGTAAAAAAATAGGAAGATAAAATTTAACAAGCTTTTCTGTGATTCAGAAATATTTTTTTCACAAATAATTTCTGACAAATGATTCTAGCAGATTATTTAAAGGTTAGAGCACCTTTTGCAATTCAGAGATGCTCTAAGCATGCCTCTTCTGCATACAGACATGCCTGACCAAAGCTGAAGGGTAACAACTTTTTAAATGTGCTATCGTGCACTGATTTGCACTTTGTTTCTTTAACCAATTTTAGTGTATTTGGAACCTGGAGCTATTCTAGGGTATTGTTGTCTAACTGGAATCCATCAGTACTTTTCTAGTATAAGATGGCAGTGAGGCTGATCCATGAAGGACGTGCCAGGGGATGGTGTCACTGGCAGCACACAGTGTCATATTTTATATAGAGAGATTAGAGACAATCCATTGAACTGCATCTGCCTTTGGACTGAAACATGAAACTTCCCTGCACTGAGCAAAGGTCTGAGTCAAACACTGAGGGTGTGAGGACAGTCACTGATTATCATCCCAGTTATCATATGCTGAAACCACCACATTAAACTCCCTGAAACGGCATTTATTGTTTCCATGAACCCATTGTTTGCTTAAGAAAAGGAAAATGCAGGGTGTCAACTATGCATCAGTGATCACCAAGTCTGTTTACTGCATTCTGAAATGGTAGATACCAGATCATTCCAGTGCACTGATCCTTGCATTCATTGCATCATATGTATGCCCTTCTATATGTTTTTTTTCTTTTTATGTTACAAAACTAAAGTTTAACAAGAAAAGCTACATTCCATTTAAGCTGTGAGTGTAAGATATGAGATAACAGTCTAGTCTTAGCAGTTGACCTTCAGTGGGATGGTTAAACATTTCATCTCGACGTGATTTTTATCCTACCAATGGGAGTGAAGAATATTGTATCTTCTAAACACAGAAATGCTTACACATCCTTACAATTATTTCAGTAGATATGCATCTGTGGCCCAGCCCTCTGTTTAAAATTTGTCACGTATGACCGTGATATTTTGCTGTGTTCTTGATTACATCACAGTAGACTTTCAGGAATTTTTAACAATGGAATGCACACTTCCGTAATCTGAAGAATGACATATGAAAGACTTGAATGTGATCGATGGCTGTTGTAGGGTCTTTCTGAAATTATTTCATTGAATTACTCCATGTTATATGTTCATATCATATTATTTCTTTAAATAATTTAAATAAATATTTTAATTTTCCAGAGCTTGTCTGGTCATTTCAGTTTTCACTTCTGGCACGTTCTGAGTAATATGCAAATACCTCAATTAAAATATAATGTAATTCTGATCACAAATTACAGATATATAATTGAAGGTCCATGTCAAGGAATCCCTTTGGATCAATAAAGCATCCAGTAAAAAATTATTTATATTACAATTTTGATATAAAATCAAATCAGAAAATAACATTTGTTATTTCCGGGTAAATTCCAAAATAAGTTAGGCACGATCCCGCTGCAAGGAAGTTATTACACGGATGCACATACAGATGGATTGCAGAAAACATGGAAGAGCAAGATCCAATAAATGCAGTTGGCAGGGCTCTCAAGTCTCAGGCATTGACCGTGAGACACACGTTTTGCCCCTAATGTAATCTCACTCCAATCTTGGAGTGAGATTACAGTTTTGAAAGAGAAGCTTTTTATAAATGACCACAAACCTTCAAAATAAAAGCACATCTGCCCTGAGAATTCTGACAAACTAAGAACCCGCTAGACAGCGTTAGAAGTCTGCAGCTCCTGATTTTTTTTTTTCTAAAAAAAATTTGGACACAGCCTTTGTTTTGAGTAGAGTTGGGAAGGTTACCATGTATTCCAATGCATAATTACTAAATAGCTGTTAAAATGTATATTTAATGTAATGTAACCTGATTACTAGTTGTGGCAATTTTGAAACTTCGAAACATTTGTTGAACTGTTTAGAAATGTTACATTTCTGGCTCAATATTGGCATCTACTGGCAGAGGCTATTATTGCAGCCATTAATGTTCTGAAGCTCTCTTTTCCTGAAGCCAGTAATTATCCTGTTGTTTATATTCGTCAATCACTACGTAAACATTGTATCATGGAAAGTTCTATGTATCTATTTAGGTCCTGATTGTCTCTACAGTGAATGCTTGTGCAAAACAATTATTAAACTTATTAACTATGTCAATTTCATTTTCAATTGTAAGACCCATACTATTTTGCAGATTATTGACTTCAGCTACTAGAGCTACTATTGTATAACATACTGTATACAATAACATTAATTCTGTTTAGATTACCCGCAACCTAACACACCATAACTACTGTATGGCTGGTGGCGCTGCTGTACCTGCCATTTTTATCTACTATGCCTGTCCATTTATGTGTCAAAGCATGTACTGACCATCCATGCTCTCTGCCTTCCCACATGGAGTCCTGGTTCAGTGCCATGGAGGGGTGAAATCGCACATGGGACCTACGAACTGTATCACTGTGGGTGCAGCCTTCAGTACCACCCTACACAGGTCAGCGTGGATAATGGACTCATTGATACTTACAGTATGTATGTATGTATATAGTAATAATTGTCGTATAAATATAAAACTACAGTGGTACCTCAGTACTCGAACTCATTAGAACTCGAATTTCTTTGTATGGGATTTTGTATGCTCACGTCCTGGTTCTGCTGATGTGGAGTGTTTGGAGGGTAGGCAGGTTACAGCCTATTATTCGCTCTGCTGAGTGGGTGATGTGTTGCAGTCTGGCCTTGTCTTGTTCAGTGGCTGATCCAAACCAGACTGTGATGGAGGAGGTGAGGATGGACTCAGTGATTGCAGCGTAAAACTGAACCATAGTAAACTGAGAGAGATGGTGCATTTTTAACTGCCTCAGAAAGTAAATCCACTGCTGGGTTCTTTGTGATGGAGGTGATGTTGAGCTGCCATTTCAGGTCGTGGGAAATTGTAGGCCCTAGGAATTTAGAAGATTCAACAGTGCTGACAGTTGAGCCTTGTATGGTTATGGGTGGGACACTAGGTGGGGGATTTCGCCTGAAGTCCACCACCATCTCAACAGTTTTCTTTGTGCATTAAGTTCCAGGTTATTTGAGCAACACCTTGTCATCAGCTGCTTGATCTCTTCTCTGTATGCTGACTCGTCGCTGTTCTGAATCAGTCCAATCAGGGTTATGTCATCTGCAAACTTAATGACTTTTACAGTGGGGTCCCCTGATGTGCAGTTGTTTGTGTACAGAGAGAAGAGCAAAGGCGAAAGCATGCAGCCCTGTGGCGCTCCGGTGCTGATGGTTCGTGGTTCTGAGGTGTGTTTGCCCATCCTCACACGCTGTGTTCTGTTTGTGAGGAAGCTGTAGATCCACATGCATAGTGGTTCAGGCACAGACTGTTGTGACAGTTTAGACCACATTAGCTCTGGAAGAATAGTATTAAATGCAGAGCAAAAGTCTAAAAACAGAATCCTAATGTATGTCTCAGGATAGTCCAAGTGTTGGAGCGTGAAATGGAGTACAATGTTAACTGTGTCGTCCGCAGATCTATTGGTTCTGTAGGCAAACTGTAGGCGGTCAAGCAATGGGTCTGTGATGGTTTTAAGGTATGATAGCACAAGTCTCTCAAAAGCCTTCATAACCACAGATGTGAGAGCCACTGGTCTGTAGTCATTGAGGCAAGAGACTCTGGGTTTCATTGGAACAGGTGTTATTATGGATGATTTAAAACCATGGATTTGGTTCCACTCCTCCATTGTCATCTGGCTTTCTTTATTTAATTTCTTTCCTTTCTTTTTTCCCATTCTGTATTACTCTCTCTAATAATGTTTAATGTATCACAACACATTCATGTAAAGTGCTTTGGTACGACTCTGTTGTGAAAGGCGCTATATAAAAATTAATTGAATTGAATAAAAAACAGACAATTTGTTTTACAGGTTTTTAGTGTCTAGTTTTACCCATATTGTCACGGTTGGTGCCTGTTGGACCCTCTGCCCTCTGTCTCTTCCACGTCTGGTCAGTAGGGTTTGCTGGCCATCCTGTCCTCCTCCGTCTTTGAATCCTTTACCCTCACGTGTTTCTTCCTGCTCTTGGGCTGCTGCATGGCTCAGGGGGCTGAGTTTGTGGTTCAATGATTGAGAACCCATTGGGTGTCGATTTGAACCCAATTTAAGCCCAGTCTCACCTGCTTTTGGTTTCTTGTTTGACTTTTGTTGTCCTTTGTGTTTGTAGTTTTGGATTATGATTTTCCTAATATTTGTTTTCTGTCTTACTTCTCCCATCCATGGTCCACCCTCCTTGTGTTCTGGTTTTGTTTATGTACCTTTAAATTCTGTACTAGCTTTGTATTCCTAGTGTTTTCTAGTTTGCCTGTTAACTCTCCTAGTTCTGTGATTTTCCCTGTTCTTTAGTTGCACCTGTTGCTTGCTACTCTATTCTGTTTGATTGATTGTCTTGTTAATGCTTCACTCCTGCGTCCTCATTAGCTCAGTTTGGTTTGTGTATATAAGTTCCTGCCTTAGTTCTTTTCCCCAGTGAGTTGTTGTATGCGTTGTGTGCTGTGAGTTGTTGTATGCGTTGTGTGCTGTGAGTTGTTGTATGCGTTGTGTGCTGTGAGTTGTTGTATGCG